CATTTCGTAGTTGTGACATTGAAAAATCTCAGTCGGCCTCTTAAATCAAACTCTTCCACATTACGCGCCCAATTACACCTAACATCCACAACATTATCGCTGTCTTCAACAACGTGCCTTCCAAGTAAGGGATCACTTTAAGTGTTCTGGTACTTGCAACGAGGAATTTGCGTCACACCGCTCCCCTCTCCTCTCCAGCAACATGCGTTATCCTCTGAGAGGCGTAACTGTATCAAAAGCCAAGTCGTTTAGTACCGCCTCTCACCAAAGTTCACTGCAGCAGACCACAGGGCAATCCACTACTAGGTAAGTTAAACACTGTTCTGTTAGTTATGTCTGCTTACCAACCCGATTTCAGCCACAACCTGGAAAATCTGCAGACGCCAGACAACAACGCCGCTGTGAAGGCACGGTGGTGCCAACTACAGCCCATAAATGTGCTCGGTCGCGTTTGCCGCTAACACTAGGACTGGTTTGATGAAAACTTTGAGGAAATCATAATTCTGCGTTCAGAAAACAATTGGCCCCACAAAAGCCTACATTGAACGCTGGATTGGCGTAAACGAAACTCCTTTTCTCCGCTGTCGACGGCTGGTGATCCAGAGAATGTTGGGGATAGAGAACACCTGGGTAGGGCGCAAGGCTTAAGAGAATTCGAAGACGGCAATAAAATGGGGGACTACCTTGCGTCAAGCAAGACGTTCAACGACCCCAATACCAAGGAAACCGCATCGGGGATCAGTACCTACGAAACAACGCTTCTCAGCGAGAAACCACAAATCCCCGAGAGCTGAACCGAACGTTGCAGAAGCTCAGTCAACCGTCCATCCACAATGTCCGATGTCGACAACAACAGACTCCCTGAGGACGATGACTTAGACCTCACATGCTCCCTCCGAGAATTAAATAGGACAGCACGGCAACTCTCCAGCGCGAAAGCACCGCGATCCGACACAATCACGACCGAAGTCTATGAGCATAGAAGTCCATGATTGATGGGGAAATTTACGACGTGGTTCGAGGGGATGTGGCGGCAGGGACGAATCTTGGGGAGCTTCAAGGAAAATCACATGGGAATCTCACAGCTCAACATAGCCGGAATGATATTGTCTGCTTCCTCCTCAATCGTCTCAACTGCTAACTGCAACAGGAACTTCTACCTGAAGGCTAACAAGGATTTTGACGACACCCCACAACCATTGCGGTAGATGCTGCGCAGTCCGCCTACCCTGAGAAGTCAATCCGCGTGAAAATCAACACTTCTGCTTCTGGACACAACGTGATATTTTCGGCCGCCGCGGTGATTCTGTTACGTCAAGTGAAAAAGCAAATGCAGCTGGGAACTCGCGCGATTTGAGCTGCAGTTCTTGTTTTGGCAAGGAGGAAATATGTGAGTTTCCTGAGAACATAGAGCGCAGGGACATCTGCCATACGGGAGGAATGATAATATTAGTTGTATGATTTGGGCAAAGGGAAGCGGAAATTAACGGAATCTGCGGAAGGCGTAAAGAAAACTCGCAGTTCTGTCATACATTTGTTTTATTACACCAACGGGGTGACGGAACAGATGGCGCAATTCGAAAGACGCGAAATAAGGACGTATTAGCGGACGGAAAACAGGTCATCCGAGGTGCTGAGTTAAGGAAGTCCTGCTCGAGTAAGACTGCATGCGGCATACAAACTTAATCCGATGTAACTAGCCATCCCATGACAATTAAACCCACATTCCATTCTTCCCGTAATCTACTCCATCCGTGACAAATATTTAGTTGGAGTGTCGCAACCAAAATGCATTGAGGAATTTCAGATGGACTTTAAAATCAAACTCTCCCACTCTATGCGCCTCAGTAGAACATGCGCCTGCGAAATCCGCCCTGCCTTCAACAACATGCCGTCTAAACAAGGGGTCTGTTTAAGCGATCTGATATTTGCAACGAGGTAGGTGCATCACTCCTCCCCTCCCCTCCCCACTCTACGTTCTCCTATGAGACGGGTAAATGCATCAGAGGCCATGCCATCTTCACACGGCACTCACCAACTTTTGATGCGAAACAAAACAGCACTGGAATCCGCATTCCCAGGCATGCTGCAGTCTGATTGGTGTGCTAAACAGGTTCACGTTCCTACCTCAACACGT